GTGTTTTCCACATTGTCTGGATGAGAAGCACAGGATTACCTGCCTATCTCCACAGTATGCACTCCAGCCCTTATTCTGATACCTGGGCCACACTAGGTCTTGACAAAAATTCATGGGATGGATAAGAAATTATGATCCTAGAGTACTCTGAATTTTCTTCTATTTGAATGTATTATTAAAACAAAACATTATGCAAAGGTGAGCCCTTAGCCTACAGGGTTACAAGAATATTTTAGGTTGACAAGTAATTACATAATCAGTTTCAAGTTATGATGCATCAATGTTGATATTAAATAGCATTGTATTTTTTCCTTAAAATAATTATAATACTCTAGCATCATAATTTTCATTATAATCAATAAATATACTGATTCAAGTTATGCAGTAAATTTGTACCCTGACTGACTAGATCACATTCTTTCTCTGATATATTTATAAAACTCTTTCCTCTGTCTGTCCCTTGCCTTGAAAATGTGCTGTCTTTGCTCAGTGGGGGAATGTTGACAAACTAGTTGTAGATTCATCTGCTCGTGGTGAGTTCACCTGGCCGTCAGACATAGCTTACTCTTCTCCAAAAATAAGTCTAGTTATATATTGAGAAAGCAATCAAGAAAGAAGCACACCTTTGTCACGTTTAAAATGCAATGTGTTTTTACTACAATTCAAAGCAATCTTACTGCCCTTCTTTGTTCTAGATATGCTTTTTTCTTATTATATATACTTTACTTCATTATGTAATTGTATGCTTTAAGTAATTGTCATTATATTCATATTAACATAATCCTCTGTGTTCCCAAAAAAAATTTGAGAAAGAAAAACAACAACAAAAAGTTTTTATCCTTAATATGTTCCACAATAAGTAAAGAAAGAATCACAGTTTTGTGTTTTTTGAGTTGTTGGATTTTGGCTCTCCTGTTTTTAGTAACATGTCCCCCAATCCCTGGATGAAAGGGCCATAGAATTTGAAATGTTATTACAATAACCTATAGCAATATACTACCTCAACACAGGTATAATCGAAAGGAAAATTCTTGTAACTACATTCATATTCAAAGATCTTGTGATATAAGCCAACCCCTGTGGGGGTATTATTTCCAAACATAACAGGTTGACATTATATAATTACACACTGCTGGATACTGAAATATCAAAAGAGGAGTGCTTATAGCAGCGCTCACAGCACACTGTTATGAGTATTCACATTCATCCACACGTTTTCAGAGAATTATTTCTAGTTATGCATTACAGACTCTAGCAAAGATTTGGTGATTTATTTAATATCAATATTAGGTTTTGACATTAATGTCTTAGCAAGCGTAGGGAGGCTTGATTCTAAGACTCACCTCTACTCACTGAAAAGGACCTGAGGTAAAGCTCTTCTTCTTCTTCTTCTTCTTCTTCTTCTTCTTCTTCTTCTTCTTCTTCTTCTTCTTCCTCACTCAGTTTCTAAAAAAGCAAACCACTCCATCCACATGGACAGCTGAGTATTATACACTCCATCCTGTATATACCCAATGCTATCATTTATACCTCCCATCTCCTAAGTTTTACCTCTACTGTTCTTTCCATTCTTGGTTATCTTTGCATTGCTTATCTTTGAATCAGTTCTTCTTTGACTTCATCTTACCGCCTGCTCCCACAATATCCATCTTTTGCAGAAGTGATGGGCCTTATAGCACTTAATCTCAGCTTCCTCTCCACTCATTCCAGTGGTGTATCCCTCCCCTTTACCCTCTGGAGTGTAATCAGAACTTGCCTTTCTCCTTTTTAAAGGTCAGCTTTCGAATACTTCCATTTCCCCCCTCCACATGACCTTTCTGGGTTATGTGGTGCACACTGAAATTGGTCTCATAGATAGGCCTCAGCTGCCACCTGTCTTGGGTCTCATTCTCAGGTTGGTCAGTTGGGTGATCTTGAAGCTCCCTTTCATTCTGTTATGTTGGAATAATCTAGTGGCTACTTCTGCATTTCTCTTCTATCTATTCTCCCTTTAAAAATGAATTGGAGAACTATAAATCTAGGGCCAATGTTTCATATATAATATTTATTTTATTCCATTTTATTTTGAGACAGAGTCTCTCTCTGTGTGCAATCCTTGCTGTCCAGAGACTCGCTCTGTATGCTAGGCTAGCCTCAGACTCAGAGATCCTGCCTCTCCCTCCCACGTGCCGTAGTGTTTATTTTGGGAGTATTAGAGCAACAAGCTGGCTGCATCACAATGTATAGGAAACAGGGAAGCTACTGCGTTCACCATCAGAAAGTTCAGTGAGTCAATCTACAAAGAGAAGTACCCAAGGACAGCATAGGCTATCCCAGTTAAGGAAGGCTTAAGTGTGTGTGTGTGTGTGTGTGTGTGTGTGTGTGTGTGTGTGTGTGTGTGCTTAATACTGGGGCCGGGGTGTGTGTGGCTCAGTGGTAATTGCTGTTCTTCCAGAGGACTGGATTTGGTTCTCAGCCCTCACTACCGATGGCTCACAGCCTTTGTAACTCCAGCGTCATTAGCTGTCTAATGCCCTTTCTAGCCTCTATAGGTGACTCCCTCCCATGTAACATAAACATGCACAACAACAACAACAACAACAGCAAGTCTGGAGTAATGGCTCAGTGGTTAAGAGCAAGTACTGCTCTTTCAAAGGACTCAAGTTTGGCTCACAGTACCTCGGCTGTGTGGCTCACAAGTGACTATAACTCCAACTGCAGATGATTCAACCTGTTTATGAACCTCAGGTGTCTATGCTCAGGCACATCCCCCTATCATTAAAAACGATAGAAATAAATCTTTAAAAATGTGCCTCAAATCTTCCCAGTAATTATGTGACCATCCCCACAATCCTGGCTTATACGAGGTTAGCCTTAGCTACTAACACTGTGTCTCTCCATCTTAGAACTTTTTTTTTTTTATCTTTCTGTTGTTACAAGCTAAGACCCCAGATGCTAGGATACCAGATAAAAGTCAAATTATTGCTTGTTTGGTCTTCTTCAGGGGCAGAGTGATGATTATACAGGCTCTGAGTAAACTGGAATAGTAGTGTGTAAGAGAAGCTGAGTTCACCTGCCTTGTTTGTCTGCCTGCTATTTTAATAAATTCTACTTGGAGAGTCTTTATTTAGGGGCACCTTGAGTGGCCTTTAAAAACTTCAGTAAGTGTTATGTTGCAATTTGTGACAGCAATAATTATCTCTCAGCAGAAGCAAACTGGGAAAATCTTGTTATCACTAGAAAAGTAGATAGACATGAGTGAAAATAAGCATCAAGTAAAAAAAAGGACACATGCATATGCTGGAGATACAGTATAAGTGCTCTGCTTTATCTCATCAAGTCTACTCTTCACACCCTTTATTGCCTCTTTAGGGTGTTGGTATTCATGAATAAAAATATTACTTTAAAAACAAAACAAAAACTTCTTGGCTTTAATTAGGCAAAATGAAATCCTTCTGTTATAATTTATACTATTAAAATTTTGACATTTTCTAATGGCACACAAGAAATTCTATTTTTAAAAAGTCCTATATTAGAGCAGCATTTTAAAATGGTGATTGAATTTTGGGGATTATTATTTGACACAAAAAATCATGGTGTGATGATATTATTTTGGTAGTCCCTTGTTCTGTTTCAAATAGTAATCAATCTCTGGAATGGTCTGTATTCCAGTTCAATGTAACTTTAAAAGGGCAATTATTATTATTATTATTGAAAGTTCCATGTATAATGGAAATTGCTATTTCTGTGCAGTGGAGTCTTGAGCATGAAACTGTCAGTACATTTACCTATATTCAAACTACTCAAGAGAATTCTCCAGTCTGAGGGTCCATGAACACCACAGCACTGTAGAAGATGACTGAATTCATTTCAGCAACAACAAACCGTCGGGTCCTAAAGAAACTGCATTCCATTATCAATGTCTCCTTTTTCTATGTACATCTCACTCTCAGGCCCTGACAATATCAACCTGTTCTCTCTTTCATTGATTTGACTTTGCAAGATTCCACACATATGTGAGATAATGGGGATTTCCTTTTCATAGTCATCAGGAGAGAGTGTGAACCTCTATCACAGCACAAAACCAGTTCATCCCCTCAGCTTAGGACTTGGCACGTCCTACCCAGGACCAAAGGCAAGACCTACTTAATGTTTCTTGCTAAGTGAAGAAGTTCTGGAAAAGAGTGTGGTGAGCTTGGAAAGGCAGCGTAGATACCTACTTGGACAGACGGAGGGGAGTGGATATTGAACAGGCAGACAACAGTGTGCCCAAACAACTTGTCTGCTTCTTCCTGCTTGTTCATTTCAAGTGGAAAGCGGTATCTTGACCCAGAGAAGGAATGCCTCAACAGCTGGGCTGAAAGGGCATGGTCTCAGTGAGTTCCAGCCCTTTGAACTGTGTGTGCATCGGTAATTAGGGGGAGACGAAGTCAATGCCGAGCTGTGGAAACCATTGCTTCATAATTCCCTCTCTTCCCTTCCTGAACTGTAGTTACAAATTCCTGCATTGGTTTCTGCGGCTTACATTTACCATAGAGTAGAAAGGAACTGGAGGCATTTATTTTGCTGTAAAAAGTATTTTTAGATGTTTTGTGGGCTGTGTATCAATTACTATATAACATAGAATTAGGAAGGAATGTGCAAAGTATATTTAGCAACAGTTGATAATATTTTAAGAACATTTGATTCTGACACATGGTATATAATTTATAGAGATGCAGGTTACATCATCAAAAGGTTATATATTGGGAAAGCTACAAAAAAAATCCTTAACAAAAATACCTTCTTGAAACATAGACTGAGGAATGTTCCCTCACAGAAAAAAAAAGCAAAAACCAAAAAACTGTTCAATGATTGCTCAGGTTTTTCTTCTCCTGACTGTTTATTTTTCTTTGTGCTTCCTACCAAGTATAGTTGGAGGCTTATGCCAGACAGATGACTGGACCAGGGGGGATGAATGTCAATTGGATGCTTGACCCTTATTTTTTATTCAGAACTATTCTTTCCCTCTGGCCACACAGGATGGAGTGATGTCTTGCCAGAGGCCGGGCAAAGATGAACACAGTCACCTATGGAAGTGGTAGTGGGTAACTGTATAAACACATGCAGAAGATTTGTCTTGGAAGTCTGTTCAGGCAACCCTCATGGACACAGGGAGAATAACAGCAAAAGTCTAAATAGAAAACACTAATTTTCACTCAGTGCTTGCACAGTATTGTATTTTTCAGAGTATTTTGTGTACATTACCTCATGCGGTTGAGTAAGTCTGCTCTGAAGGAAGATCGGAAATAGAACTTTTTCACTGATTAGGAAATAAAGAATCTTTATTCTAAATGAAAACTAGGTTCAGAAAATCGAACTTTTTTTCTTTTCCCTTGTGTGGTTTCCAGTAAAATATAAAACATTTGTCTCCTTTTCCCTTCTCTCAAAGAGGAAAAAAAAAAAGAAAAAGAGAAAGAAAAAGAAAAGAAAGGAAAACACAGAGAAAAACTAGGAAAGCCGCTTGCTACCCTAAACACGAGTTATCAGGTTTTGAAGAACGCACATTCCCCGGGTCAGAAGGTCTTGCTGGTGGCAGCTGGGCACGAGAAGAAGGGTAATGGCAAACACTGTAGAGGACCCTGGAAATGGACTGTTTCTGTTTTTCTTCGTTTGCTGCCTCATCAGATGGCAACTCACATGCCTCGTTTTAGTCTGTCCCCGGCCCTGAGTCTATTCCCTTCATCTTTGGTTTCATGCTCTGAGTTCCCCCTCCCCCAATCTAATGTCACTGTCACCTCTCCTCCATCGTGGAGCACCAGGGTGCGCTTAAGCTGCTCAGTGGGCCCTTTCACATCATTCGTCGGGGAATTCATTTAGGAAAATACAGCTAGGGAAAAGGGGATTGGTGAGAGCCCTTGAAATCCTGTGTGTCACCTGACGGTTACCTACTCCTGGAACACCCTCAGATATAATCTGAAAAACTGATGATCGGCATGTAGCTGCCTGTTTACCTGTAAGCGAAGAACATACAAAATGACTGAAGTGGTGGAAGTGGCTGTGTGATATGCTTTTATGTTTTCTGAATACAAAATAGAAATCTGAATATAAGATAATTTTTGACAGCTGCTGATAACATCTGAGAGATAATTTAATTTGTCTGCAACTAAAGCAGCAGAAATAAATAAATAAATAAAGGAAACAGGAAGAGTCTCCGGTTTGTTTGATGGACACCAGCCCATGTGGATGAGTGGTCTGAGGGAACACGGTACCTAGTTGGCAAGTTTCCTGAGGGAGCTGACCATGGCTGCACTTCAAGGTTATGTTTGTTGAAAATAAGAAACACACACAAATACGTCTCATGAGGTTGAGGATTCATGGAGAACCTGACATAGTACTCACAAACCATCTTTGACTTGGATATTGGAGAGAATTTTTAAGAATTTCCTCATGACACCTTTCTTGCCCTGTAGGTGACCAAGAAGTATCAGTTTCATTTAGATTCCAAAGAAAATGGAAAGCGGACCAGTTCTGTGAGATGCTCATTGTCTTGAGCTCAGACACAGAGGCTGCGTCTCTCAGTGGCGATGTACTGTATCCTTGCCCCAAACAATCTTTTTCTAGCTCTGTATAAATTACCTGCCTGGCAAAATGAGGAGTAAAGCTGCGAGCAAAAATACACTTCTGTGGGTGTGAGTGTGTTCGTGGCCAAATAGAGTTTGGACTTCTTCCATTAGCAGGAATGCCTGGTGGTAGTACTAACTTTAAAACCCGGGGCTGTCAACAAACAGAAGGCGCCTGGCTGAGCAGGATCAGGCAAGAGGGGAGAGATGGGAAAAACAGGCAGAGACTTCAAAGCAGTCACCCCTAAACCCCAAAAGGAAACACTTGGGACGGGAAACTTTTCTCAGGGTGAGGCTCATCCTTTGTCTCCGTTTCACCAAAGACTCCACTCTCTGTCCTGTTCTCCTTCTTGGTTTATCTGGAAAGTCCAGGCAGGAGGACTGGACCATCAGATTCCAGCGAAAAGGCTGGGATCATTGCCAATATTCTTGCCTCTCTTGAGATCATTGAGCACATCCTGGGGTCCTCCCCTGGCTCCCCTGCTTTATTCTTCAATGGTGTCTTTCCTTCTTGGCTGTCTTTCTTTCTCATCTTTCTCACAGCAGGTCTAGTCATACAGGTGCTTGATATTATGAACTGAAGCTTTTCTCAAGAAAAAAAAAAAAAAAAGCCAGACCTAAATTGAAGCGTCTGCAAGGTGGATTAGAACTTCACAATTATGGCCCGTTGGAGTGCTACAGATTAAGTGCCGAACTTACCTTGGATTCTGTTTAGTCCCTGCTGTGGTCCTGTATTACCCACCTCTATATCTGACACAGCGTCCTCTCAACTCTCAGTTTGAACTTCTTTAAATGTATTCATTTAGCAGGTCACTAACTTCCACCATCTCCAAAGCTTAGCATGTCAGCTGACAGCATAAGAAAACTATAATAGAGGTTTCTCCACCCTGCTATAACCCAGCTACCTGCTGTCCTCCAGAGTATTTGGTAAAGACACTCAACTATGACTTTCTTTTGTCCTATGACTATAAAAAGTCCATGTAGCTTCCACATCAGAACGTGCCATTCGGGGAAGCGGAGGCTGTGGTCTCCGATAGCCCAGGAATTAAGGCCAACAACTGACAAGGGGGACCTCATGAAAGTAAAAAGCTGCTGCCCAGCAGAGGGAAACCATCAGTTCAGTGAAGAGGAAGCCCACAGAATGGGAGGCAACACTGTCTAGTTATACAACCGGTAGAGGAGTAATATCCGGAGGTATGAAGAACTCCAATAATGGAGTCAAGAAAACAAATGGCCCAATTAAAAATGCACAACTGATGTGAACAGAGAGTTCTCAAAAGGAGAAATAAAAACAACTAACCAATTATCACATAGTATTCATTATCCTTAGTTATCATGGAAATGCTAATTAAAATTACTTTGAAATTTCATGCTACCACATGAGAATAACTAAGGTCAAGAAAACACCTGAAGACAAATGCTGGTGAAGGCGAGTGGGAAGGGGAGCCTTCATTCGTGGTCGGTGGGATTGTAAGCTGGTGAAGGCGAGTGGGAAGGGGAGCCTTCATTCATGGTTGGTGGGATTGTAAACTGGTGAAGGCGAGTGGAAAGGGGAGCCTTCATTCGTGGTCGGTGGGATTGTAAGCTGGTGGAGGCAAGTGGAAAGGGGAGCCTTCATTCATGGTTGGTGGGATTGTAAACTGGTGAAGGCGAGTGGGAAGGGGAGCCTCCATTCATGGTCGATGGGATTGTAAGCTGGTGAAGGCGAGTGGGAAGGGGAGCCTTCATTCATGGTCGATGGGATTGTAAGCTGGTGAAGGCGAGTGGGAAGGGGAGCCTTCACTCATGGTTGGTGGGATTGTAAGCTGGTGGAGGCGAGTGGGAAGGGGAGCCTCCATTCATGGTTGGTGGGATTGTAAGCTGGTGAAGGCGAGTGGAAAGGGGAACCTTCATTCATGGTTGGTGGGATGGTAAACTGGTGAAGGCGAGTGGGAAGGGGAGCCTTCATTCATGGTTGGTGGGATTGTAAACTGGTGAAGGCGAGTGGAAAGGGGAACCTTCATTCATGGTTGGTGGGATTGTAAACTGGTGGAGGTGAGTGGGAAGGGGAGCCTTCATTCATGGTCGATGGGATTGTAAGCTGGTGAAGGCGAGTGGGAAGGGGAGCCTTCACTCATGGTTGGTGGGATTGTAAGCTGGTGGAGGCGAGTGGGAAGGGGAGCCTCCATTCATGGTTGGTGGGATTGTAAGCTGGTGAAGGCGAGTGGAAAGGGGAGCCTTCATTCATGGTCGGTGGGATTGTAAGCTGGTGAAGGCGAGTGGGAAGGGGAGCCTTCATTCATGGTCGATGGAATTGTAAGCTGGTGAAGGCGAGTGGGAAGGGGAGCCTTCATTCATGGTCGATGGAATTGTAAGCTGGTGAAGGCGAGTGGGAAGGGGAGCCTTCACTCATGGTTGGTGGGATTGTAAGCTGGTGAAGGCGAGTGGGAAGGGGAGCCTTCATTTGTGGTTGGTGGGATTGTAAGCTGGTGCAGTCACTCTGGGCAGCAGTGTGGAGAAGTCTCAGAAAGCTAAAAAATGAAATGAAATTCTACCCCATGACCCAACTATACCACCCCTTGTCATCTCCGCAAAGCTCTCAACATCCTGCCCCACAGATCCTTGCTCTGTCATGTTCACTGACGCTCTGTTCATCACTGCTAGAAACTGGAAACAATATAAATGTCCTTCAGCTGATGAATGGGTGATGAAAATATGGTATGTACACACCATGGAATACTATTTAGATCTAAAGAAAAATAAAATAATGAAATTTGCAGGTATATGGATGCTCCCAGAAAGACTATACTGAGCGAGGTAACCCAGCCTCAAAAAGACACATGCCACGTGTTCTCTCTTATTTTTGGATCAGTATCTTTTTTTGGGGGGGGTGGTTGAGACAGGGTTTCTTTGTGTAGCTTTGTGCCTTTCCTGGAACTCACTCTGTAGCCCAGGCTGGCCTTGAACTCACAGAGTCCGCCTTCCTCTGTCTCCTGAGTGCTGAGATTAAAGGCGTGTGCCACCGCCGCCGCCGCCGCCGCCGCCGCCACCACCACCACCACCACCACCGCCCGGCTGGATCTATATCTTTAAGCTATATCCTGGAGTAACCACTGACTCCAGGACACTGGAAGGGAGTTGTGAGAGGAGCGAGAGGGGTAGAACTCTAGAAAGATGGATAGTAGGACCGAGGTACTACGAAAGGGGAAATGGAACACTTTGGTGTGCTTTAACTAGGAAGGCAGCAGGGGGGAACTATAGAGGGAGAGGCTGGGAGGAGGGATGTATAACACAAGAATGTTTGAACAAGCCATAGGGAGTCAGATATTTTATGTTTACTTAAAGGACATAAGGAAACTTGCATTCATATATGTAGCTATCTATAGTTATATAGTATAGATTATTTCACTTGGAGTGACAATGCCCCCCCCCAAAAAAAAACCACCATAGAATATCTCACAAAACCCCCAGTGCCAGGCATGGGAAACCTCATTTATAGTGGCTGGTCAGTGGAGTCCAAGCAACTCCCAAAACAATACAGGCTATAGCAGGTGGTTTGATTAACCAAAGCAAGTGGTTAGACCAAAAACACATTCATACAGGCAACATGAAAGGGACCGAGCAAGTTGAATTCATAAACTTATTTGTATATGCATAGTGACATTAATTAAAGAGTAAGCAGCCATGAATCTAAGAAGTGGGAAGTATGGGAAGGAGGGTGTAAATCACGTTAATACAATACTCACATACAAAATGCTCAAAAATTAAACATCTCATGAAAAACAAAATATAAAATATTAATAAAGTCTTGTTCTAATATAATTCTCTCAAAACAAAATGCATTGTTTCCTAATAAGTGATGACTTTCTTAGTCAGTTTACATAATGTTTCTGTTCAGATTTAAAGATCATAGTTATTTAATTCACTTTCAAATTAGGTTTTTGTAAACATAGGCTACTAATAGGGTACACTTTGGATATCATCTTGGTAGACCATTTGTGTGGGTTTAGGTCAACTAATTTTAATCTACTGGGGTATATTTATAAATGGAAATGCAATTAGTTTTAATCCTTATGTAAGTGTCTCATTTGCCAATGTGAAAACTTAAGCGTTTGTCTAATTAACAAACAGCAGTTTTTTTCTCTTAATACTCAGCTACTGACCAGAGGAATAGATGGATGACTTCAGAATTGCAGAAGGAAATACACAAGACCCAAGGCAATATAGTCATTCTACTGAAGAAATCAGAAACTAGGGCTGTATTCTTGGTCTGCGTTGTTGGGTGTTGGACTTCATCAATCCTAGATGTAGCCTAGGGAGCCAGGCAGCATTTCTTAACAGTATGCAAGCCTTTCAGCTGTCTCTCAAATGTCCATGTTGGCTTAGGGGACAAGACATCCAAGCAAAGGGCAGAACCCTTAATTCTCCTTCCTCCCACCAAGATTAATCTCTGCATGGTTATCAACAGTCACACAAAACCCCAGGACCTGCGAATCCTGTTCGTGAGTGTGAGTGATTAAGGTCCACACACCTGATGGATGCTGTGGATTTCACTAGGTTCTGCGAGATGCTGTGGATTTCACTAGGTTCTGCGAGATGCTGTGGATTTCACTAGGTTCTGCGTTGGGGTTCTGCAGAGAAACTGACCAGTACATTAAAGAGCCATGTTCCCGCGGCATCTCCTGAGTGTTAAGCAAACACTTGTGTAGAAACAGGTCACTCGCTGCGTAGGCTCCTCTCCTTCCTGTGAAGATACACCAACCATCCATTTTCAAACTAGATTCTGTCTTGAAAACTCAGTGGCCAGCTATAAAGACGCCAAATTATATGATGTTTGAGAGAGGCTGTGGACCTACCTTGTGTGATCAGGGTCTACCTCTGTCATTTACCAGCTGTTAGCATTGGACAAATGACTTGTTCCTTTGTACCTTGGTCTCCATGACGCCTAACACAGCTGGTATCAGGAAGATTATGACAGCTTGGATCTGGTGAAGTCTCGTGATTGTTGGCCATTATTGTGTTACTTCACTTCATCCCTCACTCAAGAGGGTGACCTGTGGCCTCACTTTATGCCAAATATCTGTCATACTTTTTTTTTTTTGTGGGGATATGCCAAGGAAACACTGTGCTTCACGTCTATGAATTTCTGGATATTTAATGCAAATGAAGTAACAACTCTGCGGGGTAGTATCATACTATAAACCTCTCCTTTCCCTCCAGACAACTGCAGTGAGTTTCTAGCATATTTTGAGTCACAAGCCACTCACAGTGACCACCAGTTACTGCTGATCTTAGCAAAGTTTCTGTTTTTTTTTTTGTTTTGTTTTGTTTTTGTTTTTATAGTCCTCTGTTAAGGGGAGAGCCAAACTTACTTTTGAGCTGGTAGTTTGCTACGATACCATCACCTTAAGGCATCTTCATGTTAAAGCTGATGGATTCTGGGAGGAACAGTCACTTCAGTGTGGCTAGGCTGTCCAGTTCATGGCCTATCAAGTGATTTCACATAAAGTTATGTCAAAACCCAGATTATGTTGATACTTGTCCTGGTTTGCTGTGATAAAGCCATAACTCAAAGCAATGTGGGGAGCAAAGGCTTTATTTCACCTCACAGCTTGAAGTCCATCATTGAGGGAAGGGTCTCAAGCTGCAACTTAGAGGAGACGCTAGATTACAGACAGGTATCATCACATCCACCTTTTTCCCTTGGTGCTGGGGGTCTGCACTCAAGTCCTCCTGCTCGGTCAGCAAGCACTTTACCAACTGAGTCTTCTCCCAAGCCCCCTTTTCTTCACTGAGGCTTGTTTCTTAAGCTGTAAAAGCCGCAGATTTTATGTTTAGTTAGATTAGAACTGACAACTATGTTCATGTAAATAAGCACTGTCAAGATACAAAGAATGCCTACATCTCTGCAACTTACCTTCTTCTTTTCCCTAGTTTCATAATTAATAAATCCTGTTTTCTTTTTACCCACCTGGCTCTAAGAGCAGATACTATCTTCTTTACACTCAAGTTCTGAAGTGGCTGACCTGCCCCATGAAGCCCAGGGCCCCTCCATGCCTTCTGTAGGACCCATGGGTGGTCACAGAGGAGCCTTGGACCCTCCACACCTTCTATAGGATCCACGGGTGGTCACAGAGGAGCCTTGGACCCTCCACACCTTCTGTAGGATCCACGGGTGGTCACAGAGGAGCCTTGGACCCTCCACACCTTCTATAGGATCCACGGGTGGTCACAGAGGAGCCTTGGACCCTCCAAGCCTTGTATAGGATCCATGGGTGATCACAGAGGCCTCTTTAACTTTTCATAACTGCCAGAGATTTTTTTACTCTATGAAACTATACTGAAGGCTCGTGGACACTATCAACCAAGAACAACAAAGGTAATAACTTGAAATTAGTACTAAAGGAGTTCTGGGTTCCAACAGAAACAACAAAAGCAATTACAAAATCTCAACTTTCTGTAGCCTTCAATAAAGAGGAGACTGATCACAATCCACCCGCACTGTGAAATCCGAGCTAGGGAAGGATGGCATGGGGTGTCAGTGTTGCAGGGTGGCAGGCACAGGAATGAAGTAAGGGTGCGGTTTGCTAGAAGAGGCAGGGCACAAGGAACAGTCAGGAAACATTTAACCTTGCAGAGGCAGCAGCCTGAGCCACAAGGGAAGTTTTGTGATTGTGTCCGTGGACACTCACAGGGAAGAGCATCATTCCTTAGTGGTGTTAGAGATGGATAGAAATGAAACCAATCACAGCGTGGTGCCATAAAAAAATACACATTTTTTTCCCTGAATGCTGTCACATTTTTCCTAAAGTATTTGGATTCTCTTGATTGGCAAGACTGTCTTTTGTAGCCACTGAGATTATAGGCAGCCAGCAGAATGACCAAGGCATAATTAGTGGTTTGGAACTGTTAGCTCCAACTGCTAATCAATCTCTGGGGAGGGTGACAGGAGCTGGAGGGTGAGCTAATCGATAGTGGACAGGGACTAGACTGCTCTCGGCTACCTAGCGAGACTGTTACATAGCTTTGTAGATGGCGCCATAGAGCTTCTCCTGGCGAACACTAAAGCGCTGTGTGGAAAGGGCACAGAAGGGTTGTGTGGTCCTCCACCCTCATCCTGGCTCCACGCATCCTTTCCAGTCCGCTCTTCTGAAGTCATATCCTTTATAATGAAGCAGCAAATGTGAACAAAAGGATTTTTCCAAGGTCTGTGAGCAATTCTAGCAAATTAATAAAACTGAGATGGGGTTATGGGAATGTAGGATTTCTATACTGTGTGCAGTCTCAGTGACACTGGGCTCCTTCATATTTGAGATCTATGCGGAAATTGGTAGTTTGTGTCAGAGATGAGTTCAATTGTCGGTCATCCCGTTGGTGCCTTGAGAAGTTGGATTTTAGTTTGTGTGAGAAAAAGCTCCATCTATTTGGTTCAGAAGTGTAAGTAAAAAGTAGACCAGGTCCAGACACAACAGAAGGCAGACCCCTTGAACTAAGACATCAGGAAGGGAATGACTGCATTGGAGTGTCTCTGGAGTTACCCAAATTCATGCTTGAACACAGTCTGTAATGTAACAATTAGAGTGTGGCCTTCAGGAGCTGGCTGAGTAAGTCTCAAAAATGAGATTGTTTCCTTACAAAAAGGTTTGCAGTGGGGAGTCTGCCTCTGCCCTCTGATTCTGCCCACCACAGGGTGTGTGTGGTGCTCTTTCCTTGGAAGTGGGAGCAGTCTTGCCTGAAGAGCCAAGCTTGACAGCATCTTAGTCTCAGATCCAGTCTGCAGAGCTGTGAGGAACAGATTTCATCTGTAATGCCAGCCTCTGGTACCCTGTCACTGCAGCCCAAACAGGCCAAGAACTGACTCATCTTCTCTCCCATTTTCCAGATTGTCTTTGCGGGAAGTGAGTCTCACAAATGAAGGAGACTCGCTTAACTGTGAACAGGTAGTGATGCTCAGTCAAGCAAAGACGGTGTAAGGAAGGAGTTAACAGATGGATGAAAGTCCCCTGGAGAACGTGTTCTCACGACAAGAAAACCAGAAACAAAGCCACAAACCGATGAGCAAAAGCAAACGACAACAGATAAGTTTTGTAGAAAGTTTTTTTCTCCCTCTACTCGTCTCTCCCTAGAATTCAGGAAAGAGGAAAAAAATTCAATTCTCTCAGGAATCAGCTTTTGTTTTAGCTTTTTGAGACAGAGTCTATTGGTGAAATTATTAAGGCCACTCCACGTAGTTAAAAGGGAGGTTTATTTAGTGGCATAACTTACAAATGAAGGGATAGGTAGGTTGCAGGGTCTGGGGAAGATGTAGCGCAGTCCGACAGTGTTCTCTGGAGAACTCTGCTTGGTCTACCTCTAGTGTCCAGGGTCCAGGAACCAAGAGAAGGCAGCGCATCCGGATCTTGGGTCTTTAGAATCCTCTCTTGGCCCTGCCTTGTAGGCGTGACAGTTACCGAAGCCTCAATGGGGGTTGGAACTTCCAGATCAAAGCTGGAATGGCTACCCACTACATCTCCCCCTTTTGTCTAAATAAGAAAGTTCTAACTTAATACAAGACTGTATACAAAGGAATGGTTATCAAATATTGTCCAGGAATAATGAGGGATAATGACCTAGACAAGATGGAACTACAATCAATGTGAACAATATTAAGCAAGAAACACATACTAAAATCCAGAGAAGTCTAGAGTGTAGGTAAATGGTATGTTACAAAGATCATTTTAAAAGGTGTCTTATCCTAAAGAACCTGAATCTAATACTTAATATGTTCTATCTAAGATATTATATTTATTTATTTATTTTTCAATTTTACTTTGGTGGTGGGGGATGCTACAAGGGTGAAGGGCAGACATGGAGGGACTGGGAATGAGTGGGATTGGGGTGCATGACGGGAAATTCCCAAAGAATCAATAAAAAATTATTTTAAAAAAACATAAGGAAAGAAACCAGTAAAACAAACTTCAAAGAATAAAGTGAGATCATCTGGTTAAATTGGCAAAACCAAACCAAACAAAAGCCCAAGCAAACCAAAGTAATTGGTCAGGAAAAAAAATAAAGCCCTGACCTACTTTTTAAATAGTAACAGTCAATGCCTACAGGGTGCTGTGTAACTTCGTACTCTTAAGAGTAGAGTCAAGGAGCCAAACTCTCTTGTGTAGGCAGAAGTTTCAGGTGAGAAGCAGAAAGTCTCTGATCTTGAAGATGCACTTCTCATAGAAGACGATGAAAGACGTGGTAAATGACTGAAGATAAGTCGTGCACAGATTAAACAGAGCAACAAGGAAAAGGTGTGAGAGGATGAGAGTGGAACAGTGTGTAATGACGTGTGGCTTGTAAATGCTTATTACTGAACACCCGAGAAACATGGGCTGGAAGGAGAGGGGGACGGCCGAAGGGAAAACAAGGTTGACAGTTGTGTTGTAAGCAGTCCTGACATAAAATAATAACATTTAAGGCGGCAAATGGGGAAGTAGAGAAGTAAGCCTCTATATGACTCCAAATCTAAGCACTATAAAATAACGCGTGATTAGAATTGGATGGTGGAGAAAATGGAGGAAACAAGAGAAGCTGAGAAGAAATAGAAAAAAATTCTCAAAAGGAGGTATCCCTTAAACTGTCACCAGGACCTGGTTTTAAAACTGCCCGTTTGTATAGAATCTACTTGGTGCTGTTTAAACTATTATAACTCAGTAACAAAAGCGTAAGAATATGTCCAAATTTATTTTATGAAGTGGGTACAATAGCAATATCAAAACAATGAAAGCTAAAAAAAAGTGCAGACCAGTTTCACTATTAAATACTGATACAGTTATATTATATGAAATAGAAGCAAAGAATATTTAGCAGTATAGGGTTGTGGGGTATCTTCCAGAGAAGACTGCTTGGACATGGATTTAAGTCAATAAAAAGTCTTTATTAGCCAGCCAGTGACTACATTGGGTGTTCAGGATCCCAGTGTAGCACTGAGCCTTTTTTAGGGTGAGCTTTTGAGCACAAAACCATGTTCTGGGTTGATATTCTTCAGTTGAGAAGAACAGTTAGCCAGAAATGGAGCAGCAGAAGTAAAAAAACCAGGTCAGTACATCTAGAGACTTTCCCAGAACTACAGACCTTGAAGGAATTAGGTCTTTGTTTTCTATTTCGGCTGGTGGTGCTGTCTACGTGTTGTGTCTTATGGCCTGAGTAGTCCTTCCATCATGGAGTCAGTTGTGCTAAGGTCTGGGGCCCTGTTACTTAGTAAAAGAATAGCATCATAACCAAATATGTTTTATTACCCAAAGATGTTCTGATATTCGTAGTATAAATTTAAGATGACATGTAAAATTTTATATAGATTTCAGGAGATAACTTACACCATGTCTATAGACACTGAAAGAGCATTTGACAAAATCCAATCTCCATTTTTAAGAGATCAGAAAGGGGGGAATTGATGCATTAACTATACATTGCATCTGTGTGTAGAGATGTATATGTACAGATATTTATACATGTATTCACAGATAAGCATACGTTTGTGTGTCACAATCACCCAAATACAATTTTACAAAATCAGTAAATTTTCTCACTAACGTCAGGAACAAAATTATAATGATACTCATTTTCACCACTGTCACTTAGCATTGGAAGCAATAGCTAGAACAACGAGATAAGACAAACTAAAAGATTTAAAATTGTAAGACTAGCCGGGCGGTGGTGGCGCACGCCTTTAATCCCAGCACTCGGGAGGCAGAGGCAGGCGGATCTCTGTGAGTTCGAGGCCAGCCTGGACTACCAAGTGAGTTCCAGGACAGGCGCAAAGCTACACAGAGAAACCCTGTCTCGAAAAACCAAAAAAAAAAAGAAAAAATTGTAAGACTAGGAACAGAGAAGACAAGCAACGATTTGAGTACCTAGAAAGTTCTTGGCGAGGGAGACGGCTCAGTAAGTAAAATGCTCGCCCTTCTAGCATAAGGACCTGAGTTAGATTTCCTTAACTCATTCGGAAAAGCCTGGAGGGCATGGTCACAAGCAAGTGGGGGTGGGGACTAGGGAAGCAGGAGGTAGGAGGAAGCCTGGTTTGCTGGCTAACCAGCTTAGCTTACTTGGTGAGTTCCATTCTAGGCCAGTGAGAAACCTTGTCCCACTTCTCGGCCTCCCTCCCCACAAAGAAAAGGAAAGACAGAAAAAAGAAAGGGAGGGAGGAAGGAACGAAGGAAGGAAGGAAGGAAGGAAGGAAGGAAGGAAGGAAGAAGGTAGGTCCTGAGGAATAACACCCAAAATTGTTTTCTGATCACCACAGGTATGTATATACACACATCTACACACAGAGAAATGCACACACATCTTCATACACAGAAACACACACACAGACACACACTCACTGGAAACTGGAAAATTCCAAAATAATCTATTGAAAAATAATTAGAAATCTCAGAAAGGTATTAGAATATGAAATTAATATGCACAAATAAATCACTTAAGCCAACTAAATAGAAGGTGGATATGAAGACTAGATCCTTTTCACAATAGTGGTAGAGAGATAAATGTTAACAAATTATTAGAATGTGTTTTTGTAGCTTATAGGGGAGTCCAGTGAGTTAGGAAACTCAGAGATTTGTCATTCGTCAGAAAGATGGTTAAATCTTATGAATCTGGTACATCTTTCCTTGCACACACACACAGAAACAGCACTGGTTGTTCAGTACATTCCCTTCTCTCAAGGCTGGGGCCACATGCAGGCAGTTTGGCTCCATCGTGAGCAGCTAATGGAGAAACATGAAACTTAAGAGATGCTGGCTATACCCTCTCTGCTCCATTTGCTTGTACCAGAGGCAAATGATGATATGCAGGATCTTAAATGGAGTGATCATTGCACTGCAGTTCAGGCCAAATTCGCCAGACTGTAACACCCCCCCCCCCACACACACACACACCCGTGCTTGTGCACCGAGAAGGAAGCCTGACAGTTCAGTGCACACTGCATGATGTGTAATCCATTTGCTGAGAGGAGGTGCAGCCCAGTGCCCTGCCCCTCTCTGCGTGGCCCAGGCCATCCCATGTGCACAACAGTCTGGCTCCAGGTGTGTTGATATACTTCAGTACCTTCTACAATCAGGATCACCCTCTGGGTACGTCTTGATGCCCAAGGTCCTGTAGTCTGAACTTTAAGACCCAAGGTGAGCAGAGAAGCTTGCTCCACCCAGGAGCGTAAGTGTTGCCTCATTCAGCTTCTCTGGTCCCGTATCACCCTCTCCCTATTTATTTCTAAGGAAATGATAGTCTGAGAATATTCTTGGAGAATTTACTACAAATGATCATAACAGAACATCCAGATTATTTTCAAAGCAGTATTTACCGTTAAATTATATCATCAGTGAGTTAATTGTAACACTGTAGTAAAAGCCTTTCCAAATCTGGTATGCTTAGAAGCATGCACAGGACTTTCTAAAAATATTTTTGTTTTTTTTTGCAGGCTGCATCCCCAGACATAAGTCCAGTTCACGCTCACATGTTTGAAGCTGGTACAATAAAAGTATTTTTAGTAGTTCTATCTTCTGGCTCTTCTATGAGCAATAATTAGACTTATCACACACCCTCATCCACATGGAAAGCAGGTATGGTACAGTAGAAATGTAGAGCTGAAAAAAGAACCTTCCTTTTAAGGGAAGAAATCTGTAGACACCGTACTCTGCCACGGGATCCCAGGGAACATTGTAGGTCTTTGGAGATTCAGTTTCTAAAGCACCACTCCTTAAGATTTTCGTAACAAATATACTCCTTTTGTTGTTTTCCCAGGGACAAATGAAGAAGCGACGTATGACTTTGATATCTTGGGCATCATTGAGTCACTTAAGGTATTGAAGTGGAATCCTTAAAGATCCTAAGACCTCAAGAGCCACCGTAGCTCGAGATGCCCACACACCTCTCATCCTGGCCCTTGGTGGACTAAGGATGTCACATTTGATGAACAGAACAGGAGAGCTAGGACAAGAAATACAAACAACAAACACAAACAACTCTCTGTTGAAAGTCCTGCATGTTGTTCCGGAAGTGATTCAAAAACAGGAACAGCAATGCAATTCTGTGATGCTCACAGTATTCAGTAAGAGGAGGCAGGAACTGTAAATACTGCCATTCAGGTGACAGTGAAAAAAAAAAAAAGCCCAGTGACTTTCTAAAAGTCAGGGGGGAAGATCTAAGAAGGCACACCGAGAAAGATCACAGAACAAACAACTTCTGAAGATACTCCCTGGGGCTTCAAAAACTATACTAGGTTTCTGTGTAGCTCCACGGCCACCCTTAGTAACTTTAACAATGTTAACATTTTAAAAACTTTGTTTTTAAGACAGTTGGATTCCAGATTCTGAGTTTACATGTATGGAGAAGGAAATTTTTTTCTTTGAGCAGAGACAAAGTGGTCCAGGGCACGACATGGAAAGCCAGAATGCAGGTTCCAGGGAGTGACGTGTCTTTAACAGCAGAAGGCCCTTCCCAACTAAACGTATCTCTGTTCCTTTCATGGATTGCTGCATGGGGTGGGGGAGAGAATAATTGCTCAGTGGAGAGCGAGTGATTATTACACAACCTCCATTTTTTTTTTTTTAAAAAAAGATAAATTGTGTGTGGTGGCTCATTCCCGTAAATCCTAATGTTCAGAAGGGTGAGCCGTGAAGGTTACTGTGAGTCTCAGACCAGCCTGACTTAAATAGTAAGTTTTAGGCCAGCTCAGGACTACTGAATTAGACTGTGTCTCAAAAAGCAAACAAACAAAAAAGATAAAACATGGAATTGGTGATAATCAATTGTAATTATACACTACTGTGAAACTTAAGACAGAGAAAAATATCAATTTTCAGAATGCTAGTGAATGTTCATAATACTCCATTTACTCTGTGATACATTATTTTTATTATTGTGGAAACAGGATCACACATCCTAAATATATGTACTATATCTTTATGATTTTCTGATTATATTAAAAATAGAATAAATGCTGATTGAAAAAAACTAAAAACAATCAATTAAAATTTTCAGGTGTTAATGTAAAAAGTCCTATGAGAGTTAAGTAGTACTAAAAACAAAAAGAATCACATTATGTCTAATCATAAATTAAACATGGGGAAAAGTCATGTGACTTCAAGGTATATAAATTCAGGCTTTCAAGGGACGCAGGGCATTACCCACACTTAGACCACACTCGTATTGTATTGAGGCCTGAATGTCCCAACTTAACTGGGACACAGAATTAAAAAGCACTCGAGAGGTTGTGGAGTCTATAAAGCACGCTGTAAGAAAACACTCCGAAGATGTGAAATATTTGATTTGGAGCCCCTAAGCCCTGGCCTGTGGTAGCAATGTTTTGGATATTTTGAAGACTGTCAGATTGGAAAAGTTGATCCTCCACTCCCTTGGAACACTTGTTAGTAGCTTGGGGCTTACTGTAGGAAGCAGAAACCCATTGCAAGAGTAATTAGTCATAGTAATTAGGGCCACTCAACAAAGAGGGGCTGTTAATGCCCCTACATTGACAGAGCTTTCCTGTTTCAGGCTGAATTCGGCAAGTGTTGAAGGAGAAATCCCCTCCAGAATTACCGTTCTGGACTTGGTATTGTCCTAACAAACTATTAAGATGTGTGATTGCTCATTGACTTTTTTTTATTGGATTTTTGTTGGATTTTTTGTCACTTATAGTAGTATAACCAAAATTATCACAAAAATGTCTTTGGTGACTGAAAAATATTCTCTCTTTTTTTTTATATCATTTTATGTACATAGGTGTTTTGCCTGCATGTATGTCTGTGGACCGTGCGTGTGCAGTGTGCAAGTGGTCCAGAAGAGGGTGTTGGACCTCCTGGGACGACAGTTACACACGGCTCTGAGCTGCCATGTAGGTACTGGGAATTGAGCTGGGGTCCCCTGAAAGGGCAGCCAGTGCTTTTAACAGCCGACCCATCTCTCCAGACCTCGATGCTTTTACTTTTTTGTGAGTTGTAACTACTGATGGGCACTTTGATACGAAACATAATGATGTCACAAATGAAATGATCTCATCTGTGCTGAGCTTTAGCCTGGATGCTATAAAAGATCATTGATTGAAGATAAGCCCAAAAGTTGTGCATAGAAAATAAGATATTTTACAATAATTTGTTAAAGCACATTTTCTGCTTGTTTTTACTCTAGCGTTTCCTACCTCACAGACACTGAGCTGAAGTGACACTTAGATTATTATTGCGTGTTTATGTTTCTGTGAGTCATTTGGAGAGACTCCAACCTTCCCAGTGGTATTTTTGCCTGAATTTTAAAAGAGGCTATTTCTGACTGAAAGGGCTTTATGTGGGCCACAATATGGAATTATGCATTGTTATACAATACAGTGCCTATATTACACTGATTTACATTCATGACGAACATCTACAAATTAAATAACCAGTACGATAATGCCAGTGTGTTTATCATTTGTCCATTACTCTTTTGGACAATATTGGATTGTTTTCATTTAAATAATAAAAGGCAGTGTCCTCTCCTTAGCTTTTAAAAACAATAGAGTAAAAAGAAAGCAAGAACGTTTATGAAGATTTCGTGTTCTGTTACTGAGGAAGAGAACGGCTTTTGTCTTCACACATCATGATTTCCTCAGCTCCTGCAGTCACAGACTTTCAGAATAATTGAGAAGTAACAGAAAACAGGACAACAAATGGTTTTAGTGATTAGGTTAAACTTCCCCGGGAGGCCTGTAGTACTGGTTCTTTGACTGGATCGTAATTCCCAACAGTTTTATTTTAACCAGCGGCAGTTGGCATGTCTGCCCTTCTTCCCACACTTTTATTTTCTGTGGAAATGGGCTGTTGGGTGAAGCATCCCTATGTTCTGTGCACAAGACTGCTACTGACACAAATGGAGTGCAGCATATAAAGCAGCCTCCACTGTGGAGGGCTTACAATGTTTGTCATTCAACTTGACTTCTTGTTTACAGTCTCTGTGGGCACAATCGGAGATGCTTTTTTTTTTTTTTTTTTTTTTGCCTATTAGTTGGACTGTATTCCTCCAAATTGTAGTCATTCCCTTGTGGATTCAGCCCTAGTCCTGAGGTTACAGCTTTCATTTTACATTAGCAACTCACCATTTCAAATATTTATATATTCAGGTTATTGGCTGTTTAAGGAAAAGTAGTGTATTGCACATATACATTTTTAACCTGCTTTATTTTATTTGTTTATTTAGAGGCAGTCAGCTTAGATAGCACTGCCTTCTTTTCCTAAGACTTGGAAGAGGACATTAAAAAAGTTATTCTAAAGGTGAAATTTGGCCTGCTTAATGAATCTCAAGTTTTAATAAATGCTTACAAGGGACTTAATTAAAAACACTTTACTGGTAACATAATCCAAAACGAGAAGCTATGAATAACTGCATCCTGAAGATCAGTCCCTGAATTTTTACCCCGAACATGTAGCTACTGAAGGGATTTAATGTGTGGAAATATATTTATATTTCTTTGCTGTGAAACCAGCCTCCCACTACACTTACCATTTTGTAAGCTTAGCAACACACTATTCGCACTGTCCCAGGATTATGAAGAGAACTCCCCCTCTTTTGCCACTGCATCCTACTCTACGGATGAGGTTAGTCTTCTGTTGGTCCCCTCTTGGGGACCACTTGAATTGTTTCCAGTCTTTGGCTGTAACCATGCACAGTCACTTTATTTCTTGCCTTTGCTTTACATCTCAATGACAAGAACTATAGGGTAAATGCCAAGTGAGACTTTCCAAACCTTGACTTTCTTTTAATGAAGCGACTATAACTCTTTCTTTGAAGACTGCAGGAGACAGTACCAACACCTCTGCCCACTTTTAAACTTAGGCATATGGAACCAGAACAATTTCTGTTCCTTTTATCCATGCCTGGCCCAGCTGCACACTTTTCCCACTGAATGTGCATCAGGGCTGCTTCCAATTGAGCCCCTACATTCTGAAACCTTCTTTCTTGTCCAGAAAAGTCCTTTTACAAACTGGCTCACTGCTACTGCATGTCTCCTTGAATTACCATTTCATTGTTTAAGAACAGGTCCCTTCTAAGCATGAGAGGGGGAGTTCTTTATTCTTTTGCTAAATTGGTCAGCCAAAGAACAGCTTTTGGTGAATAAAAGATATTCTCATTTTAGAAAATGAAGGGGAAGTTCTATTCCCTCCAGTCCAATGCAAAATGTTGTTATTCCTTAAAAATGTTCTAAGTGCTCAAAGTGCTGGAAACCGTTCAGAACACACCACAGAACCCGGTTCCTCCCCACATTCAAAATGTTTACATTCTAAAAATGACAAGAGAGGCAAGGTTGGGAAGGTAGCTAGATCCGGAACAGATGGGCACATATGCCCTCTCTCCTTCCCAAACGCAGCCCTATGGATGGCTCAACGGTTAATGTAGATTTCTCTTTACTAAGTTTTATAAGGAACTCTGCCGAGCACAGCCAAATGACTCGAAATGTGAAGATGTAATGCCTCTTTGCTGTGCCCTGCTGTTCCAACGTTCTCAGCTTTGACAATTTATCTTGCTGGAAAATGTCTTCAGAATGTCAGTCACTTCAGCTCCCATGCTTGCCATTTGCATGCTGCACACCTGCTGGTGTCCTTGCTTGTGCTCCATTGTTATTTTCTGTGGGGGTGGGGAAGGTAAAATATTACATTTTGCAGACCTGGAGTTTAGTTTGCGAGCAATTAGGAAAGGTTTCTGTGAGTCCAGCTGTTCTTATCAATATCAGTGTCACCTACAAATAAGTGCTTACGGAGTGTCTGGTGAAATAGAGGTTAAAATAAAAAAAAATTCCTTTTTCCAAAAGGATTAGGTCCCACACGAGAGTACAAATAAATGCATCACCACACAAACTCACTAAGAAGTCCTTCCAAATAACACCATATAAAATAGAACTGTTCAAGAAACACTTAAGCCCAAATAATTAAAAATGTGTGTTAATACCGGCAGCCTTTGAGAAGAAGAGGAAATGGGGACATGAAAGAAAAGTATGAGTTGGACCATATGTTCCCTCCACTCTGCTTTATAGTGAACATACAATATTTTGTTTCAAAGGGCTTGTAATTACTTTTTTAAATTAAAAATCAATAATTTAAGGGCAATAAAATAATTTCTCTAACGTTGTATCAGTGGTAACTGGCTGTGATAGAATGCCTATGTTAAAATGAGATGAACTGATGGGACACTTGTTACTCGGCACAATAAAATCCAGGTAGGGTACTTCACACTTCTGGACGCGGTGCCCGGATGGGATCACTGCCGTACTCTTCCATTCTCTGCTGTGCCTCACACCTTTAGCAATGCTGTGAGGTGAAATGAGAAGAGCCAACATTATTTCTCATCTCAGGTGTTCTTCATCTCTCTACAATCCTCCAGTTTTAGAAAATTTTGAGCATGTACCCGCCATCCAGCTTCAACAGTTATTTTATAATTTTATTTTGCATGAGGATCTTAAATCAGGTATTATATTTTATAATATTTAAGGTGCTATTTTATCATCTAAGGAAAGCTACAATACTATTGTCACGTGTCAAATACAGCTTCTTAGACTTACTTATGAAGTAATATGTGCCTAATTTTCTTTAACTAGCTAAAGGAAAAAAATTTCAGTCTGTGGTGGTTTGAATAAAAATGACTGTTAAAGGCCAGTATGTTTGAATGCTTGGTCTCCAGTTAGTGGAACTGTTTGGGAAGATTAGGAAGTGTGGCCTTGTTGGAGTAGATGTGTCACTGGGGGTGGGCTTTGAGGTTCTAATGCCCATGCCAGGCCCAGTCTCTGCTGTGGGATAATCCTTCTGTATGCTGTGAATATGCATTACTCTCATTTGCTAATAAAAAGCTGATTGGCTGATAGCTGGGCAGGAAGAGATTGAACTCGAGAGTCAGACTAGGAGAATTCTGGGAAGAAGAAGGGTGAAGTCAGGAGTCACCAGCCAGATGCAGAAGGAGCAGGAGATAAATGTGCCATGCTAATAAAGGTACCACCATATGGCAGAGAGTAAATAAGGAATATGGGTTAACTCAAAATGTAAGAGTTAGCTAGAAGCAAGCTTGAGCTATTCTATTGGCAGAGCATTTATAATTCATATTCAGCTTCTGAGTTCATTGTTTTGGACAGGGCAGTCAGGACAGGAAATGTCCGTGTACATATGGCAATCCACATTGAGTGCCAGATGAAGCGTTAATCTAATTAATCTTTATTAATAAAAAATTAATGAGGAGTCAAATATTGGGGTAAAAGCCTAAAAAATCTGAGAACTGGGAAAAGCTGCCAGTTGCTTCCTACCTCTTTTGTTCCTCTGTCTCAGCCCTGCCTTACCACTTCCTGTCCCTCTCTCTACAGTCCTCCAAACCTCTATGGCTAACTAGTGGCTAGTCTGCCCTCTGACTCCAAGCGAGCTCTATCTGTTAGAACACAAACAAAACATCACACAATTCTCTCTCGGTCTCTTGCTGTGAAATCAGGATGGAATCTCTCAGCTACTGCTCCAGTGCCATACCTGCCTCCTGCTGCCTGCCAAGATGATAATAGACTTACCCTCTGAAACTATAAGCAAGCCCCCACTTAAATGCATCTTTTCACAAGTTCCTTTAGTCATGGTGTCTCTTCACAGCAATAGGACAGTAACTAAGACACAGTTAACACACTATTTTTGTTTGTTACATTTGTTGAAATATCTTTTTACCTATGACAATACCTTCTCATTTATATTGTTGAAGAAACTAGTTTTTTTTTTTTAAATGAATTCAGATGTTCTTTGTACTGAAGAAGCAGGAACAGGACTGTCCACCTTCATGTCACGTTATCTCATTAATTTATGATCATTAATCAGTTATTTGACTTTATTCACATAAACTTTAAGCTTTACTGGCACTCTGATCACTTTTAAGTTTCTTTAAGTCTGTATTTTTACATTTCATACAAGTCCGTTATTCCTTGTATGTGACCTCAACACTATGACTTGTATATGACTTCAACATGTCACTGCCTTCTCCTGCTTCAATGGCCTTTCATGACACTGTCCCTAGGACCCATCTGAATGTGTTGAAGAGCTCTTGACACCAAAGTCATCTTTTCTGTGACTTGCATTTCTTTGTGGTAATTGTATAATATGATGTAAGCATAGAAGAATACATAAAAAGTAATTTTAGCATAGATAAATCATTTTTCCAGAATAAGGGATTTTTTTTTAAATCCCTAGTTACATACAGCTTCAAAGGATGGGTGAGTTTATGCTCCTAATGCTTTGATGTTCCTTTTGCCACAATGTAAGAGTTATGTCTTGAGAGCCTAAGGCCAGATTCTTCATTGGTTTGTTCACATATTTATGCTTATAAAAGATTGGCTTATGAAAGATCACAGTGACTGTGAAGCAAGTATGTGAGGAAGAAAAAAGTTGGATCTAAACAAAGGGAATGTGTTGTGTTATGTGGGAGAAGACAGTAAAACATGCAATTTTGGGGGAAAGACAAAAATCCAAGTTCTGAGAAACTTATATACATATATCCATATAATATACACATGCATATGTATACATGTGATAAGGGTGAAAACTGTAATTGTAAAATACATCATTGATGTATATCAGGGAATCTGGGAGGATATCTAGTTGATTTTTTACTATTGTATGTATATGCTAACTTATTTAATCATGTAAATCTGAGAGACAGGAACATTATTCCCACCACTTCTTCATATAAGAGAATTTCAATATCAAAAGGAAAAAATGACATATTTAGGGTCATAAAAGTAGTAATCCAATGGCAGAGGCAAAAATCATAGTCTGAACCTAAGCCATTTAGGTTATTTTAGTTGTATTCACAAACTGTGGGGTAAGGATTGGCAGATCTGAAAGTTCAGGAAACCAGGTCCCCTATCATTGTCAAGTGTTTGGACGAAACTTGTGGACATGGAGGCGTGGGAGCTTCATAAAAGCTACTTTACCCTGGCAGGCACCATCTACCTGAAATGTAGGGTTTCTGCAGTAGTGTTAGGACTATAGGGTACATGTTTTACATACATGACTGGGAGAAGCTTGGTAACTGATGAATGGATGTGGTCGGTGGGGGATATGACCAGTGCTTTTCTACACAAGCATGTGAGCTGCCTTTTAGCACTGAGAATAATTTTCCCCACAAATAGTGAATATCCCTGTGATCTGACTGCTAGTATTCACATCATACTTCAAACAAAAATTGTAAGAATCATCTCTGAAGTGATCTTATAAGCATGTTCTCTTGTGGGGTTCACAAAGAGAAAAAAATGTAAGTGTGAAGAACATAGGTGTCTCCCTGGTTATTTTTACTCATAGAAATCACCTCATGATCACCTAAACACTAGACACAAATGCATGCTCTGGGGTGCTCTTTTGTTTCTGCCTCCAGCTTTGGGAGGGAACCCTCATCTCACCCCTTCTTTCTACTGGAACAGGCATCAGGCTCCAATATCAGATCACAGTTTTCAACTCAAGGGCATCATTCACATTGGCTCAGTCATAGATCAACTAGGTGTTTAGCCTTTAGGCCTTTGAAGAGTTGAAGAGCATGGAGTTTCACAGAACCTGGAGCTACACTAGGCTAGTCAGATTATCTCAACTTCAAATCTCAAAGGGGAATGCAGGGTTTACTATGCTTTGGGGGGCCTCTAAGGATGCCAGTTTTGCTCATGAGATCTTGAAGTTGTCTTAATGCTTTTTCTAAGATCTAATTGTTCTGATTTTTTTTCAAAATGCTGTATAATAATCTTCAGGTAAATTACTTCTTTTTGTGAGTATGTGAGAGTGAGGTGTTCTCTCCATCCAGCCACCAAGTGCTGGGGTCTCAGGCACGGGTGTTGGGGGTTGGAACTCTGCTTCATGCATTTGTGCAGTAAGTAAGCACTTGAACGCTGAACCATCTCTCCAGTTCCAGTAAATTATCTCTTATGCTTAAGAGCTATCTTCTGTGATTTCAGCTGATGCGCTCTAACTGCATATCCATCCACACATCCATTCACTTTTATGGTTCTTTTAGAAATTTCCAGGCTCCTTGAATATGGCTTTTGCATGGTGCCAAAAGGAAGTCTCAAAGTTCAAAATAAAAGAAAGTTAAAATATATTTATAATAGTCTAAGATAAACACAAATACACTATGAATCATATATGTGATACACACTGCATCTAAATATAAATAAGTATCTGTATTTCCCACACTAACATGTCAGTTTCGTATGGTCCATTTTATTATACACAGAAGACAATACTTTTTTATTTGCATTTTTGCTTTCTGTTTTCTCAGGGGCAATGAGCACAGATGGGTACATGAAAATGATACCTGGAGGTAGACCTTAGGCAGCAAGGACACCTTGGTAAAGTAATAACAATGCTTGAAGAAATAACTGTATAAAGGGGAAGGCTGGGATGCCGTATGAAGGAAAAGGAGATGAGGTGATTTCAGGATCTACATAGCTCGCATGGCCTTTCTCTGCTAACACACTAGTTTTGTCTGTGATGTAGCGATTTTTCCTTGAAAGTAGTTAAAAAATTGCGTGTGGGGCTGGGGATATGGGTTCATGGTAAAAGTACTTGTTGCTTATGCATGTATGAGGACCAGAGTCCGGATTCCCTGCACCCAAATAAAGGTCTGGTGGGCGTGGCAGCCTGCTTATCATTTCAGTGCCTAGAAGGTGGAGGGGGAGATGTCTGGAGCCAACAGGCCAGCTAGCTAGCTAGCCTTATCAATGAGCTCAGGGTTTAGTTGAGAGGCCCTGCCTTAATAAGTAAGGTAGAGAGTGACTGAGACTCCTTACGGCAGCCTCAGGCCTCCACATGTATGTACACAAATCCCTTGCGTTACACATACATGTGCTGACACACACATGAGCACTTGGCCACTGAGCAATCTCTCCAACTTCTTGTTTTCATTGTGTTCGTTTATGTGTTAATCACCATACTTTTCTGTTGTGTTTCCTTATAGATTTAAAAAATAATTCTGCTCAAAGGCCCCTGGTTCCTGTGTCTGAAGTTCATGGTGTCTTCAGCAACAGCGACTTAACCTTCCGTGTCTCGGGGCAGGGAGGGCGGCAACCCAGGGCTATAGCAACAGACTGATGTTTGGGGAGTCTCTTGGAGAACTTTGACTTACAACTCAAAATAATATTTCTCATGCATGTTGTTAAGGTTTTTTTTTTTTTTAGATTGTCAAATAAATTAGACAATTTTCAAAAGACACGCAATAGGAAATAAATGCATGAAAAAATGTTTAACATCTTTAGGCACCAGAAAATCAAATCTACATTGCAATTCCATCTGTCCCAGGTTAGAGTAGCTATATTTAGGAAAACAAACAATAACAAATACTTATGAGGCTATGGCACAGGATGGGCATGGGGGTGACATGGGGGAGATATAGTGGTGTGGTGGTTGGGAGTAGGAAGCAGGAGAGTGGAGGATGGAACAGAATTTTCCACACTTTCCACATTGCTGGTGGCAATGTAGTTAGAGAAGCTACCACAGAAATTAGTATGAAGGCTCCTCAAAAACTAAAAATGGAACTATAATATGATCCAGATCCAATACTTCTAGGTATATAAACAAAGAAATGAGCATTATCACATAATAAAGATGCTTGAATATCCTTGTTTATTGTGGTATTTTTCACTATAGCTAATTTATACAATCAGCCTAGATGCCCCTCAATGGAGGAGTGCATAAAAATGTGACCTTTATGGATGTGTGTAAATAAAATTATATATATATATATATTCATATATATCACAGAAATGTATGCATTCTAACACACACACACACACACACACACACACACACACACACATATATATATATATATATATATATATATATATATATATTCTATCTTGCTTTCTGTTATTGTGATAAACACACTATGGCCAAAGGAAAAAAGAAAGGGTTCATTTCCTATTACAGATCTCAGGTCATAGCCTATTTTTAAGGGAAGTCAGGGTAGGGAGTTGAGGCAGGAATATGAAAGCAGGAAGTAAAGCAAAGGCCATGGAGGAATGCTGCTTCCTGGCTTGCTTTTCCTGTCTTTCAGTTTGCTTTGTTATGCAACCCAGGGCCACCTGCCCAGGCATGGCACTGTCTATAGTGGGTGGGTTCTTCTATGTCAACTGTCAATCAAGAATATGCTCTGCAGGTTTGAGGCTAATCTGATGGGAGCATTTTCTCAACTGAGGTTCCTTCTCAGATTATCCAGCTTGTGTTCAAGTTAACAGCAACAACAACCACCACAACATCAACAACCACGACAACAGCCACAACAGCAGCCACCACCACCGCAGCAACAAACTCACCAGCGTGGTGGAACACTGCTGTTTACTGACTTGCTCTCCATGGCTTACCCACACTGCTTTTTAAAAAACGCCCAGGACTTTTAAAAAAACTGTCCAGGGATGACATTGTCCACAATGGGCTAGGTCCTTCCACATTAACCATTACTTGAGAACATGCCTCCAAGATTTGACTTCACAGCTCAATCTGACATGGGCCTATTTTCATTTGAGCTTGCCTTTTCCCAGATGACTCTGGCTTGTGTCAAGTTGACACAAACTAAACAGCTCAACACACACACACACACACACACACACACACACACGAGAGAGAGAGAGAGAGAGAGAGAGAGAGAGAGAGAGAGAGAGAGAGAGAGAGAGAGCGAGCATATTTAGGCTTAAGGAGCAAAATCATGTTATTCGTAGGGAAATGATTGGAGATCAGCATGTTAGGCAAATCAGCAAGGCCAGAAAGGCAAATATCATGTGTTCTCTCTCACGGGGAAAATCTATGGGAAAAAAGAATGAGAGTAGAAGATGGTTATTTGGGAAGAGTAAGAGGGCCAGAGATAGGAAGGATAAAAGAAAATAATGATGGGGTGAATGTGATCAGAGCATGTGAAAAGCATGCATGAAGATGTCAAAGTGAAGCCCATTATTTTGTTACAACTAATGTATGCTAATAAAATATTCTGAGTTGCTTCTTTTATATAATCAGACTGCTATGGGAAAGAACAGGTCCAGGCATAATGAGGTATAGATAATGAGGTATATAATCAGCATATGTTACCATCCCAGCTATTAAAATAAGGTGTTGAGATGATTTCTTTCTCTGCCTGTGAAGAAGAGGGAATTCAAGGCCTGAAAACTGACACAGCAGAGACAGAGTCCCTGAGGATTCAAGTGTGAGAGGATCCTCACGATGTAGGACTTTGGATTCTAGGATGTAGGACTTTGCTTCCCAGTTGCTAACAGTACGGTTTATGACAAGATCCTAGACATTGTGGTAGGCCAGTGGGTGTCCTCACTTGCAAGGATCTCAAAGGCTAGCTCTCCTTGTGACAAGTCATGAAATCAAGTTTTGTTTGGAAACTGATTGGCTTGTATGTCTTCTGGAAAGTCGGTGAATCGCAGGTATACATTTCCTACACCACAGCCTCATCGGCCATAGCTAATAAATTCTTTACCCTGAGACCAACTTCACTGACGACTGGCATGAGTAAGAAGTGCTCCTGGAGTGAAGACATTTCAAAGACATTTTAATACAGTGGCACCATGTGGAGTGCATTAATCTTCCCTGTGATTTCCTCTTATTGTAACAGAAGAAAAGGCTTCTAATGTGCAAACCTCGTTAAATCAATCATCTTGGGGGTTCAGACGCTCAGTGTGATAAAAGCAACAACTTTGTCTACCTTTAGGCAATTTTCCATATATTTTGGAAGCTAGAATTTTGGGAAATAACTTCTCTGATGGATTTATGATTTAGCTTCAAACGTAATATTTGAATTTCACTTTATTAGCCAGAAGAAATAAAAAGCCCTAAGTAGCCAATAAAAAGCTTCACATTTAGATTGAATGCTTATTGTTTTCATGGCTACTTGGACACTGCATCTTTTAGCTGTGACTAAACTGATGGAATGGAACACGAAGTGTATTTATTAATTTGGAGGAAGAACTTGTTTCTATTGTTTCTTATTTATTTACAGTCGTCTGCAATTGTTATTTAAAAATTTTACTGCTTGTATCTGACAAAGCAGTTTTATCAAGAATAAAACATGTAGAAACTGTTTAAGACAAAACCTCCTGAGAGATACAGTTTTGCCTCGATTTAACTTACTGTCTGTTTACAGATAAGTTCTTCGGGAAGACACACAGGCCTCTAGAAAATTTTAAATTCAAACTCCAGCAGACCCAGGAATTGCTCAGAGAATTCAGGGTGGCAGCCCTCCACAGGGGCAGCATGGCAGGAGGGATTGCTTTGGTGGTGGGAAGAGGCTGACCGGAAGGAACGCAAAACTGAGACTTGCTTTTGTAAAACAGCTTCTGCTGCTGTCTTAGTGAAAGGCGTTGACAGACAATCTCAGTTTTGACCTGCTTTTATTACAGGCATCTAGTTACCTGACTGTTAGAGCAGGTCCAGTTGCTTCATGGTGAGGGAGATGCAGGGTGGTCTACAGACACCCATGAGTTCAGTCTTGCCATTGTTGGTGACCTACATGTAAAGCATCTTGTAGTTATTAAGGTTAAAAGTTGTGATGTTAGATCTTCAGTGAACTCTGCTTAAACTATGTGTATCTGTCCCAGGAACATGGAGACTGCATCGATAGACCAAGAGGGGAACTCACTCTGAACTCAGCAATCCCATAAGTCAATATTGTATTGAACCCATTTCTATACTGCTTTCCCATGGTTTCTGCATTGATATTTCTGAGATACTGACGTCATAGCTCCATGCTAACTATTCTTGAAGTATACGATTCTTCCTTAATTAGTGCTATTCCAGTTTTAATTGTACACATCATGTGATAGTAAGGTCGTGTCTTAGTTACTTTCCTACCATGTAATGAAACATAATGCCAAAGGGAACTTATAAAAGGAAGTACTTGATTGTGGGCTTGCTTACATTTTCAGCGTATTAGTCTATAACCATTATGACAGAGAACTTGGTGGCAGGCAAGCTTGGTGTGGGAGCAGTTGCTGAGAGCTCATGTTATATCTGCAAGTTGCAGGCAGACAGACAAGGCCTGGTGTGAGCTTTTAATCCTCAAATCTCACCACCAGTGACATACTTCATCCAACAAGACCACACTTCCTCCAACAAGGCTATGCCTCCTAATCCTTCCCAAATAGTTCTACTAACTAGGGACCAAGAATTCAAACATATAAGCTCATTCAAGCCACCACAGGTGGTAAAGACAGAAACAAAAATTTATTAAAGCAAAAGAACTGTCCTATTGATATATAATCCATGCCTACTATTAGGAAATTCAAAATACTAAGCAATAATATTTCTGAAGACAGATCATGTATTTGCTTATATTTACATAGATACATTTATATTCATATGAAACATTTTACAGGGTAGATCATATTCTGAATGGTATAGAGTCATTAATCAATTCACAGTTATGGTATATTATATGCTAAAAGATCAATAGTTCTGTAGTATTAGAGCAGTCATCAGATACTTTTTTTGTGTTAGATACCTATTGCTTGAATAAACCCAGAGCCTTGAAAAGCAGACCAGAATGGGTAGCTGTTCCATTTGACCTGGAAGTTCTACCCCCAGTGAGGCTTCCGGTAACTGTGGGGCTGAGAGGGGAGCCCTTAAGACCCAAGATCCAGATTGCCAGCTCTCTTGGTTCCTGATGATCTTGGATGCTGGATGGTAGACCCAGCATAATTCTCCAGAAAACCCAGGTGGACTGCACCTAACCTCTCCTGGATCCTGTAACCAACCCCTTTACTGGCTGTAAGTTACCCCCCCCCACAATAAACCTCCCTTTTAACTATGTGGAGTTGCCTTGATAAATCCTCCAATATAGAACATAGTACTTTTCCATGACTCAGACCTTACATGGCATCTGGGTAAGCTCATGTTATTAGTTGACAACTTAGATCTTCGTAGCTCAGTTGAAAATGAAGACTATGAGAATGAAGAAGTAACTTGGGAAGTAACTATGTAAGACTCCTTCTTTCAAACATCTTCTCTTGTAAAGATCACTTATTTACAGGTGGTACGTGTTTTCAAAGTAAACACGGTCGGACTCTCCCTTCCTCTTTTGCCCATTTCCTTTTTATGCCAACACCCCTGTTGTTGTAACTGAAGACTGTTCTGGTAGCTCTGCTTTGGTCTTTCTTGGTCATCTTAGTATCTCAAGCATACTGGACCACTGCACTGCTGATGTCACAGCCTATCTTTCTTTAGTGGGTGGCTCTGAGGAAGCCGAATGAAAAGATTAAGATCCCTAGTCTCTGTTTATGTGGCCACTTTGTAATTGTTGAGATTTGAAAATTTGAAAGGATACAAGATTGCCAAAGGCGGAGGGGAAAGTGTTCTTAAAGAGAGTAGGTTAGGTACAATTTCGTTAGCCACAAGGAGGGAAGCCAGCAATGCAGAACCTTAGTCACGAATTAGGAGTGAAGAGAACACAAGGAATTTACTGACCGGCTCATGAAAAATGTTATTTTATAGTATTGACTATCACATTAGGTTAAAATGCATTTTACAGTTTTCATTATTATGCTACATAATAATAAAACACTGTGTATCACCAATTTTTCTCATTATACAATTAAACACTCATTTTGTCAATAAACATTATGA